AGCCGGTAGTTTGTGCACTATATCAAGCCGATGATAATATAGGTCTTTAACGTACTTATTAGATTCGTTAAGAGTATATATAGCCTACGTAGAAGCTAATATTTCGTAGATTTTGGTAGTATAGCACTGTCTTTATAGACGCAGAGGCCCAAAGCATGGATAAAATTGAGTCGCGCTTCCATGTGTCTTGGAAGCCAGCGCCTATGGTCGCTTGCTTGAGTGTGTAAATAACCTCGGGGAAGTAGAGAGTCTCGGATTGAATCTTCAGAGTCAGGATCAAACCCAATCATTCCACTTCCGTACAGATCCACACGACGAAGATAATCCTCAAGGGAGGGAGTTCGTAAGATGGCAAGTAATATGTCTAGGTCAGCTTAGAGTAAAGGTTTATGCATCTGCGGGTACTTCTCTCAGCCGAACTTCAATCGATAATATTTCCGACGGATTTTCACATCACATAGAGCATGTATTTCACGGCTTTGCTGCGACACGGCCACGTTGTATATCGAAAGTTTGCTGATCACCTCGAGCAGCAATTCATCAGGAAGATTCTGCAGGGACGGCATTTTTGACACTGCATCAAATCAACGGAAAGCACAGAGTGCGGAACATGGCGTAAGTTGGAGGAAAGGAGGTGCGAAGCACTAAACCTTGACGTTGGCGCCAGGGCCTTGTGCAGAAATCTGTTTGACCCTACTTTTCCTTTTTCTCTTATTTTCTCCAAGTCCTGTCGATATTCATATATAATACAGTTATTTTGATTCCGATCCCGCTTTCCTCTAATATTTTTTGATATCATGGGTTGTTTGTATGCGCTATTGCTTTTGTAGACTCATCATCCCCCGTATCACTTCCTTCTCTCCTCGTGAAAAGCGAGAGCGGAATACTATCTCTACGATAGCGACGTGGAGTACTTTGACTTCGACTACCCGAAGGATAAACTCGGTGGCTAGCAGAGTGTGATTCGCCAGTACTGCTAGAAACCAGCTTGGGAAATAGCTTGTTCATGAGCGGCTTGGTTGCCGGGATGCTGGCAGCAATGATAGCAATAGCCAATTCAATTCCTGACCAAATAGAAATCCCAAAGGTGTCCCAGGAGGGATCTGAGCTCTGATATAATTTCACAATATAGACCATCCGCACGACGCTGGCTATACATGCACTGTTATCCAGTTAGCACTAATGCATACATCAAATAAAAAGCACACCTTGCACATACAAAGATCCCAATGATAGCAAACTGGCGATGACGAATCTTTTCCTCGTTCTAAGATGAAGTCCTAGAACTGTTTTCAGTGGCAAGAGAAGAATCCAAATATCCGTCGCCAGAGACAGCGCGGCAGTCGCATACCAGAACGGAATAGATGCAAAGCAAGTATAATGCTTGTATTTCTGTTCGTTGTAGACAGCATCAATCGGGGAGCACTGAAAGATGGTTGCCAGGATAATTGCGACACTCATGGCTGTGACGAATGTGATTGTTGCAAGGCAGATTATTCGGATGTTAGGGAACACGCGTAGGTATAGCAGACATATTGATACCTTGATCAGACCACTGATCAGGGTATAAATGATGTGAGTCACGTATCGAATCTATATTGCGAACTTGGTTAGCCTCGTTGTGATTTATCTTCCCATTTCTCCTATACCTTCGCTGCAGGCAACACATCTACTTTGTTGAGATCCCATTTGTGCTTCCCTGTCCCATACGTGACTCCTATTCACAACATATCAGAGATGGGATGATCATATAAGGGGCAGAAGGCGTACCAAGTCCCGCGACCACCACATTCAAAATTGCGAAAATCATCGCGGCCACCATTATCCAGTCGTCCACACCCATCATTTTCACGATGAAGACCCTTGAAACCACGCGAAGGCCCACAATGATCGCCGCGATGCCGGTTATGGTGCCATTGATGATCAGCAATAGGGGCCCACGATTCTCAACCTAGATGGATATATAGTGAGAAACCCCCATTGGAGGGGGATGTTTTGCCTTTTGGGTGGGACCTTGACTTACCTCAGATCGCGGCTGAAAGAATGGCTCCATAATATGTCGATATCCGACTCCAGAGTGAGGAAAAGGAGCATGGGCCAAGCGGCTATAAAAGTCCCATGTTCAATGATCTCTATTCCAGGAAGATTTTAAGGGGGATTTTTTTTCCAGCTGCCCAGATATATAGTATATTGGGGGCGACTGGGGTGCACCCAATCGCTGACATGACTCTGTGAATGACGTTGCGGCAGTCCTCGTGTTCTCATTATAGAGATATTGGAATTTTCTGGTTCCAAATCCTCCGGAAACCCAACATTAACTTCCATAACTATATACCATTATAACTATGGTTGTCACTTGTCTTAACTCTTTGGTCTATTGCAATTTTGTAGCCTTGTATTACATGCATTAGTTCGAATGGATCTGTAAAAGGTACTCCGTATGTACAACATAGGGGTGAAACGCAGTCTAGGGCCTACGTATACAGACCCGGAGTGAGACAATTGGTATTGCCAAGACAGAATACTTCTGGCCCCCAAAAATGCCGGGGCATTGGATAAAAGGCCAGGTCAGAACTATTATCGACTATTTTCGGCTGGTCATGGTTCCGCCTTTTTTTTAGCCCTCCACAACGGCATTCGCTCCGTATAATGTGCTTCTCCACCGGGATAAAACGCCGGATCTCCTAGGTATGTCCCCGGGTCTCCGCTGACAAAGCCTTCGCCAATCCGGTACTCCGTAGTACTCCGTACGAACTATATCTACAGGAACATGCTAGTGATAGATATCTAATCCATATTGGTTATAGGCAGTTAGAACCAGGCGGTGAAACTCCACATTCCACGCGTCTTCCAATATAAATGGCTGGGAGGTTTAGCCTTTTTGGAAACCAATGCTCGTATTAACTACCCCAGTACCCTTGAATTGCTCTTTTTTGTCTTTGCTTTACACACTTCTCGACCTGCGAATTATATCCTGATGCCTTCTCTTTTGCAGAAACTCCTGTTGGGAATTCCCCTGGTATGTCTAGCCAGCGGCCATGCCCTCACTGATTCCGTCAGCTCGAACTATAAGATCGATGTTCATTCCCACGTCGTTCCGTCCATTTGGAGGGAAGAATTGATCTCTGCAGGCTATCCAGTCAAGAATGGTACATTGTATACGGATGGTTTCCCTGTCTCTGACTGGACACTGGATTCACACATTAGCACCATGAATAGCCTTGGAGTTAATTATTCAACAATCAGTGTCAGCGCCCCCGGCGTCTTCTTCTTAAAAGAGGCCAAAAAGGCCAAATCTTTAGCTCGCAAAGTCAACCTCCTGCTTCATAAGTACACTCAAACTTACCCAACTCGACTTGGAGCCCTCTGCCTTCTCCCTCTCCCTTACGTTGACGGGGCCGTTGAGGAGTTGAAGGTACCATTCCACCCCTAGTAGATCATATCAACCTGGTCAAATCTAACTTGGAAATCGTAGTTTTGCCTGGATACCCTCGGGTTTGTTGGCGTGGGACTGTACACCAACGCCAATGGCACGTATTTGGGTGACAAATCCCTCGACCCCGTCTTCTCGGCCTTGGACCAACGCAATGCCAGCGTGTTTGTCCACCCAGCCTCTCCGGAATGCACATCTGTCGCCAACGGCTGGCCCATCCCGATGACCGAATATCCTTTCGACACCGTGCGTGCCATTGAGAACATGCTACTGACGGGTCAGCGTGCGCGATATCCGGATATCAAGATGATCTTTGCTCACGGTGGTGGCGCAATCCCCTTTCTGGCTACCCGAATCGCCGGCATGGCATCCCTTCCCTGGTTGGGTGGGCTGTCAGTCCCCGAATCCCTGGCGCAACTTGCCGGATATTATTTTGATACCGCGGCCTCGACTTCTGCTATTCAATTGGCGGCTCTGAAGAGCTTCATTGGCACAGATCAGATCGTGACTGGAACGGATTGTAAGTGGGCAGTGCCAGTAACGCCGAAACAGTGCTGCTGCAGTATACTAACGCATGCAGATCCGTACGTTCCTGTCTCGCAGGCATCGGCGGGATTATCCGCGATCCAGGGTAATGGTAACTTTACCACAGTGGAGATGGGCCAGATCAATAATCTGAATGCTTTGACAATCTTCCCGCGGATTATCAAGGCTTTGAAGCTCCACTGAGATATATATTAGGCATGGCTTGTAGATGGATAATTACTAATATAGAACACAAAAAGAGCTTGTGGCTCTTTTAATTACTGCATTCTTGATTAGCGAACTATTTTCATATCTATCATTCATTTCTCATTTTTCATCTCCTGACTCTCGTTCCAAGTGCTCATGCAAAGTATAGAAGAGCAGTCTTGATTATATGTTAGGTTTTCGCTTGCGGGGAAAAAGCCTATGAGGGCCAAAAAAAACCTCTCTCCCAATTATCTCCAATGATCCCTTTGCTAAAGTGCACCTAACCGGGGGTGCCGCAAGAGGTCCTCAGCCGAAGTCCAATCATCGGGATTAATTTTTCCCTGGGCAGTAGTCAGCCCAACCAGCCTCACTGACAATGCATTATGCGGTACGGCAGGTTTGGGATTGATGCCAGGAGAATTGTAGATCCACCCATAGTATATGCAACCTATTTGTGGGTTAGAAGTGCTAGAATGCAGGTTTAAATTTGAATCGTTGTGTAGAGCAAAGCCCAGAACGGCAGCAAACAGTTTAGCAGGTAACTCTGTTGGGTCGGACATTGTGATTGAAATGGTAAGGGGGCAGGCACATGAAGAACAGGATGGGTCACTCATGGATGGGACACGATATGGACTACTCCACACATATGCCAACGGAGTACATTTGGTATTGTCAGTCTTCAAGATTCTGATTTTTGCGGTGAGGTGCGGTTTCTTCTCCAGATATTGCTTACAATGATGCGCTGAAATCAAGTGATACTGATATTGTTTAAATTGATATAAGACTAAAGCAAAAAAACAGACAGACACTTAGGAAAACTTCCATCCGACTCATCTTAGCGTATCTCTGCAAGCGCAGCCACTCTCTGTAAAACCTGTTGTAAAGCCGGACCAGAGCAGCTGAAGCCCTTATCCTTCGGATCAACAAAGCTGAATTGGAACGGACGACATAATTTTTTGTCCAGAGACTCTTTCGCGAGTGGGTATTCTGGAATCTTTCGAAAGCTCAGAAATTTGTTCTGTTCTAGTACACTATGCAAAATCAAACTGTCAAGCTTGTAGGCACCTCCACCCAACTCGCGGAGAATGGACCGCCAGCCTCCAAATTCCAGCTGTACAAAAGAGAAAGTCGCACGGCGAAGCGAACCTGTAACACTGTAAAGAAAGATCGCCAAAGCAGCTGAAGATTGGAATGTCATCCGCGAGAAAGTCAACTCTTCTAGTGCCGGCAAGCACCCAACCGATGAGATCTGGGCGAGAAGTGGAGCTGCTTCACACTTCCAGCTGAAAAGGATCGCAAGTTTTCGGAGAGATTTGGCACATTGGATCATGCTCGCCATCCAATCAAGAGTCTCACGCTCGGCATCCGGGAGCGCAAGGCTCAGCTCTTTGAGGTGGGTGAAGGCCGGGATCCCAAAATAGGTGATAGGAAATTGTGTTAGGTTATCGTTATCCTCGTGAGCCCTTCTTCTGTTTTTGATTATGTCTATCGAGAAAGATTCCATCCGAATGTGCTCAGTAGCTATGGCCTTGAGAACAGCACCAGTGGCCTCGTCAAGCGAGATGCCGTCGCAGCCGGCATGCGCGGTTGTATAGATTGAATTGCGCAACTCGAAGGATTGGCAGTTGAAAAAGCGTTTTATCACGTCTCGCCACGCTTGGATATCTGTTCCTTCTGATGTGGTATGAGGGGATAATGGTCCCAGGCAACCTTGTGAATTCCTGACGATCTCCAACTTGCGGACATAGGGGCAAAAGAGGGCATCGTTGGCTGCTTCCTCGACCCGGGGAAGTGACTTTGGTGAAAGATCGGTCTTCAATGTATGTACAAAAGTTTGTACGAAGTGGTGAAGGGTGCTCTGGTACATCGCTCGGCAGGTGAGCCGAAGAGCGCATAGTTCGGGTGACTTGGTAAATTTGGCGATATCCGCGAGTATTTCAATTGGGAGACTATGCATACCTGATGCAAGCGCTATTTGGGTGCCCATACTGAAGCGAGAGTAGAAAGCTTGATAAGACGAATTTGAATGCAAGAAATATCGTGAGTTGGAAGGAGAAGAATATAGTTGGACAGCCGAAGACAAGCAACGAAGTCGAAGATAAACAACAAAATCGTAGGGGAGCTGGTAAGAAAGGAAGTAGTCGGGAAAAAGGATATTGGTATAGGATTCGTATGAAGCGAATAAGATCGAGATGGATGAAAGAAAGATAGTGAGTTTGACAAAAAGAATAACAGTGTGTTGGAAGAAGAATAGCTAGACAGTCGAAGGAAGTTGAAGCTCCGGTCCTGTTTTGGGAACTATAAGGTTTATCAATAAAGGCAGTATAAACTGGTCATCAGACAGACATCATCGCCGCTTCTCTTTTAGTCCATAGGGCTTCGACGCCACATAGATTTACTGTATATGAATTTTGTTACCTAACCATGACATAGGTAAACAATAACACATAACAGCAAATATATAAGAGAGAGTAAAGGCATAAACCGAGGTTGGACTAAGCCATATATAATTAGGGCGATATGGCTGAAGGCCTGGGTTGTCAGGCAGATGTGTAGGCGAGGATATAGAACAAGCTCGATGAACATAACCCTTTTCTCGTCATGATTTGATGCCAACATGGTAATACAAAGTGATGAAAGGAAATTGAACAGTCTTCTGCCCACTGTGGAAGGTCCAGTTGGTAAGATCAAGATCTGGCTGATCCAGTAGTTGCCAGGTTTCCTTCGCGGTGCGGGTTCGGAGACAGGATATAAGCCCATCAATGAAGATAGTCAGAGGCGCCACGGGCAGAATGAATGTGAAAAATAGGTGGACCGGCGAATCCCAGTACCAAACAAGAGTTACAAAGAATGTCCAAAAGAAGACCAAAGGCGAACATAGACATGTCCAAAGATCGCGTGATGTGATTTCGAATATGCTGAAGGGAATCGGATTAGCTAATGGAACAAATGGTATTAATGTGATAGTAACTTGCATAAACGAGTCAGCGGTCTCAACTGCACTCTTCAGTATTCCCGCTGCATCTTCATCTCCGAAGTGGTGGAAACAAATATTGAAGATCCGACACTCTCTTTTGGAACTTGCTGCAAATCGAGGAACGGCCCGAGCATCCACCGGACTCTCAATATACGTGACGTTCTGTTGTTTCTTCGAAATTCGCTCCCACTCTTCAATATGGGGGTAAAGATCGCTTAAAACAAACTGAACAGGGCCATTGCCTTCGGACTCGAGTTCTTTGTTGAGCTCTGATTCGAGGACTGGAGTAGGCCCACCGGCACCGGCGCAGATGTCCAGAACTGTGTATGAGGAAAGATCTTTCAGGTGCTCTTTGAAAACTGCACATGCCTGTTTGGCGAGACTTCCATGGCTCCACCCGGGAGTTCGAAGATTCCACAGTTGGGTGAGAACCAGTTGCTCGTGTTGGTGAAGCCATGCGGGGCACCAGGTTTGATCACCAATCTCTAGAAGATGAGATCGAGGCCAAGAGAATAGATGCATCATGTGTGCTTCAAGGGACCGGTGAAAAGAGTTGTCCAGTGAAAGAGCGCGAGATAGGCTGCTGGCAGGGAAATCGCCCAGTCACGTGCTGCCACACAGACTCTGGTGTTATTTTTCAGATAAAAACACAGCGACAACAGAATACACGTCCCGTTGATTGCTTGATGTCTCCGGAAAGTCGTGTTCCCTTGGATATCACCTGTGGCTGTATCTAGGGCGACCTCGGGATGTTTCCCCCCAAAATCCACGACTCCTTTGAAATATATAGTTCTCATCTCTAGGTCGACGAGCGTGTCTTAGGACGCAGTATATTGATTTCATCTCCCATGGACCAAACCTGAAATCCTACATATCCATCGATATATTGCCTGCATACGAATTGCGTGGTGGTCAATCAAAATCCCACTAGTCCTAATTCGGAACCCAACACAGTCCGGGGAACATCACTTTGACATCAACGGAGAACATGAAGGTTGTTATTGTCGGCGGAGGTCTAGGTGGCCTAGCCTGTGCAATCGCCTGTCGCCGTGAAGGCATTGACGTGGAAATTCTCGAGCAGTCTCCCGAGATCCACGAAGTTGGAGCAGGCATCCAAATCCCACCAAATGGCGGTAGGATAATGCGCGACTTTGGCCTACTTCCCCAACTACTCGAGAAAGGAAGTCAGGTGCAACAAGTAGATTTCCGAAGGTACAAAGATGGCCGTCTTCTGCGATCAATGCCATTTGGGGATGATATTACGGAGGAGTTCGGGGTACCGTGGATGTACGTGACTGGCCTGATTCTGATGTTTACAGACACCCTTAACCGCTTTGCAGAATTATTCATCGGGTGGATTACCATGGCATCCTTCTAGATGAAGCAATCCGACTTGGTGCAATTCTTCAACTCGGGGCAGAGGTAGAGGATATTCACACAGAGCAGCCAGCCGTGCTTCTCGCTGGCGGGAGATGCATATCGGCAGATGTTGTGATTGGTGCTGATGGTACGTCAATAGATATTTGGCTAGTTACCTTTTGGACTGTTTCATCTGACAAGAGAAGGCCAAATGTCTACGACCAGAAAGGCTGTCCTTGGATCTCCTCATTCTCCAGTCCCTACCGGCGACATGGCCTATCGAGCAACCTTTTCACGAGAGCAGCTGGAGGCCTTGGGTGATGAAAAAGTAAATGAACTGTGTCAGAAAATTGCGGTTACAAGCTGGCTGGGGCCGGAGAAGCACACCATTTTCTACCCTCTCCGTGGTGGAAAGGAGTTCAATCTCGTTCTCATGCGGCCCGATAATTTATCATCGGACTCTCGCAGAGAGCAGGGAGATATTAACGAGATGCGAGAGAGCTATGCCGACTGGGATGAAACGTAAGGACTCCTGGAATAGTCAACTCTAATTCCCCACTAATATGTTTCTCTAGACTGCAAAAGCTGGTTTCTTGTGTGCCATCGGTGTATAAATGGAAACTGACACATCTCTCCGAGCTAGAATCTTGGACCAAGGTCGGCATATCACCATGTCCCTCCAATCACAAATTTGCTAACTGGGACTCACTAGGGATCGGTTGCTTTACTTGGTGATGCGTGCCACCCCACCCTGCCATACCAGGCACAAGGAGCTGCGATGGCTGTCGAAGACGGAGCAGTCATTGGCAAACTTCTTGGCCTATTTCAGGCTCATTATCTAGATCCTAAAAACTCTGGAAGCGACCCGTCAATATCAACGCGATCTTCAGCTCAAGGTCTCACAGCTGCTGTGCTAACGCTCTACGAAAAATACCGGAAAGCACGCACAACCCGGAATGTCCAAGGAGCAATCATGAATCGGAAGCTTTTCCACATCCCAGATGGCCTCTTGCAAATGATTCGAGATTTCCTGTTGGGGTATGCAGGAGTTACCCGGAAGAGCGATTGGACATGGCTGTCTTCATTCCGACAGGGGCAGACCCTCGGTCTAGATGTGCTGGGAGACTGTGAAAAGGTCTTCGAGGAGTGGAAATTGACACACTAATTGCACATGTGGTAATAGGTATTACTCGCTATATGGACGATACTGTGTATTTGTCGTCGTAGCTTCAACTGCTTCTTTTCGCAAGATCCACGATTGATGAACCGTTTTCAGTCTAGTAGATTGTGTGTATACGATGAGGCTAGTCTGAATTTCCATTATCCTGCTTTGTGTTTCACATAAATAGTCCAAACATACCCACTGGGCTCCGATACCAACCCGAGGTAGGGGCCTCAACGGCTTTACCTATCTGATTTTACCTCACACCAAGCCAAGTCGTACCTTATCACAAGACTCAGTATAGTTGGCGGTTTCTCTCCCTTCCCTTGGAAAAAAGATTACCTGTGAAGCCTACGACACCTTTTTTTTTTCGATGGCTATGGCCACCAACACAGGTAGCTCGGCATCAGTGGCTCCGGTAAGTGCGTATATCGCTAGACCAAGAATTACACCGACATACTCTTCTTTCCAATAGCGATGATATTGCCTTAGATCCAAGCTTCCACGGGGTTACTCGTACACTACACACATCAGCTTCCAACCTCTCGGTTCCCTCCAAGCGGTGACTAAAGTGCGAGACTCGACTTTTGAATCCAACTCAAGAAACTCTCAACTGTGTGATAACCACCTGCAGCTTTCCTATTGTCTGTAGGACCTGATACTAGCAAGCAAACTCCATAGGAATTTTTGACTCTACGCGATCATCACTCCCTCTTCTTTCGTGGACCCTTAGGGAGGTGTGTTTGCTAGTATATCCAGATGTTTATCAGATATTTTGACATGTTTTGTTACAGGTATTTCCCCCTTATTGGTGTAGCTAAAATATAGCCTAATAGATCAATCCATGTCTAGGTGGTTTCTAGATGCCGTAATCACAAGAGCAAGGTAAATTAGCTCGCCGTTTGAGCCTGAAAATCACCCAAAATCAGTCTACCAGAACTAGTGTCACCCCAGGGAATACCCCATAAGGAATTGGGCACCTTCCAAGCCACTATAAAGACCAGAGCCTCATGTGTAGTGGCTGTGGTAGATACTCAGCCACAAGTGCAAGATCCGTGAGATTGTAATAGTTCGAAGCAGTCCGATTTTGGGCATTTTCAGACCCAAACAATGAGGCAATTCACCTCGATCTGACGTCGACTACGCCGAATATCGTCGAATCAAGGATAACCACAAACTCAATACGTGTTGGAAAGTGACAGGGGGCACAAAAATCCCTGTTCAAGACCAATGCGAAAAAAGAAAGATTCTCCCGTTGGTTTGCAGGTTACAAATCAAAGGCCAGATCACCGCCTCACCGCCTTCACCGCCTAAAGACTTTTTGATTCTGCCCCGTCATTCCCTCTCCGTTAAATCCGATCGGCGAGTCGGGACACCGAATTTCCGTACTATCGCCGGGGAAGATGAAGAAGTTCCGAAAAAAGGAAACTAAAAGAAAAAGAACCGGAAGAAAAACGTGACTCACTTCCAGGGACCCCCCTTTTTTCCAAGGTTTCAAGAGAATGGCTTCACGCTGATTGGCGTCTATCTACTACGTCTTACTTTAGCCACCTGACCTGTTTGACGTTTAAAACCCTCATTGTGGATTCAGCTTACTATGGGCAGTACTAGATACTTGCTCTCGATGTATCTACGAGATGACCCGTCGGGAAACCCCCGCGCTATATGGAAGATCTGATATGCCCGATACAATGCATCAATGTACTAGTACAATAATCTGGTAAAGAGTAAAAGATACATATACAAAATCGGAGGAATGAGGCGGAGCAGTCACAAAATGTTACGTAGATTCCTGAGTCCGAAGTATCAAGAGGATTCTCCGGAGAAGATCGGCCCTAAGGAAATGGTCCACCTGTGAGACTCCATCTCCTTCCAGAAAGTCCGCGGGTAAATAATATTATTTGGACACTCCCCCTTCGTTTTTTTCAGGCTCCCACTATTCTCTCTTTTCACACAATTCTTGGGCCCTGGTCAACAGGTCCTTTTTTTATACTATTTTTCTTAATCTTGCTTTTGCGCGTTCATTGGCGACAGACAGTCGTCAAATGAACCTGCACTTTCGATATTATCTTGAGTGCAAGGTACGAAAAAGAGCACGTGAAATTTATTGACAATAACACTAACCTCGATCCATAGCATCGCCTCTTTGTTCTAAAGAGGTCGCCCATCAGATAAATGGTTTTCAAACCATTCACCCACCTCGCGCGCCAGAGTTTCACCAAAGCCTTTACTCACGGCTATGCTCAATCCGTAGTCGCCGCGTCGCAGTCCTACGCGTCGACAACCCCCTTTAACCCCCTCGCCCAACCCGCCAAATTCTCCCGCACAACCCAATTACAGAATGCTTTCTCCAATGCGTCCAGTTCGTCCGGCGCTGGCGCCAAGGCAAGCCAAGGAGGATCGGGAAATGGAGATCTCGGTCTAGCAGCCTACTATGCCGCATGGCAGAACGCCCAGCAGACCGGGGATGATAGCGACTGGACCCAGTTCGAGTTCAAGCGCCGTATTGGCTGGAAGCCAACCGAGGAGACTGATAATGTTAACGAAGACCGGGCTGCATCCGATCTATCTCCCCCTCATCCTACGAAGGCTGCCATGAACGAGGATGTTAGTGCGCAAGTGGAGGAGGCCGTAGCTCGTGAGATTCAGATTCAGGAGGAACAGGCACAGGCCGAGGAGGCTGCACTGGGGGCAGAAGCAAGTGTTGAACCGACTGTGGAGGATGCCGCCGTTTCGGAAGTGTCTGAAGCCAGCCACATTGCTTCGGATCGTGTTGTGCAACTGGCCAACTCCAACAAATTTGCAGAAATCCCCGCTGCATTCGAAACTTTGCTACGAGACGGATATACCCCGACTGTCGTGGCATATAATGCCCTGCTGGTCGCTGCCATCCGTCTTCACCCTGATGCTGCTCAGGCCATTCCCAAGGCCCTCGATGTCTACTCTGACATGCTTCGTCGTAGGGTAATTCCCGATGAAGATACCTATGAGACTCTCGTTCAGCTTCTGGTCACCCGGTCTCACGATATCATCAAGGCCAAGGAGGCATTGGAGCAGGAACGCGTTCGATTCGGTGGTATGGAAGAGCCTGGCAAGTTCATGCTTCAGTCGAGTGAATTGGAGCGGGATCTTCTCGCTGAGGATACTTCCCTGTCTATCGCTGTCAAGCTCTTTGATACCGCCACTGCGCGACACAACCGACTTGTGTTCCCGGGCGATATGTACCGCCATCTTATCATTGCCTGTGCCAAGGAAGGCAAGGTGGAGGATATGATCCGGATTTACGCCCACATGGAATCCCAGAAAATGATTCCGCATGCCACTATATTCCCGTCCATGATTACCGCATTTGCTTCCACTGGTGATCTGCGGAGTGCCGTTGAATGTTATAACGAGTACCGAGGGCTTGCAGTCTCCGATGACAGCGGCGTCTTCAGTATCGTTCAGCGCCAGGATGGCCAGGTCTATGCTGCTGTGATCCGTGCTTACCTGCACTGCGGTAAAGAGGAGGGTGCCACGCAATTCCTTGATCGGATTCGTTCTTCGTTCGACGAGGTAACCGAAGGTCGTCAAGACCGATGGTCTGCAGTGGAAGCCGTGATTGTCGAGGATGCACTTGTGCAACACTCGCTCAACATGGGCGACCACAGCAAGGCATTGGACCAGGCCAAGAATGAGTTGCATGATGACGCTCGGAATCAGGCCATTTCCCGCATCTGTATTGCTGCAGCCGATGCGGGCGATCTCCCCACCGCTTCTGCGGCCTACGATAGTCTGCCCACTGCACCTGACGTACGACAGAACCCAGCTATTTCCCTGTTGGCCCTTCAAGTCCGCCGGGGCAATGTTTCCGCTGCCCGTTCCTTGTGGATCATGCTGAACACGGTGGGTCAGGCAACCCCGGATCTGGTCCAGCCGACAGCTATGTATGCCGTCGCTCTGCTCAAGAGTGGAAATGTTGAGGAAGGTCTTGACCAGGCCCGCCACATGTTTAAGCGTATCCGCAACACCGCCCAAGATCAACACGCTGCCGTCGCCAGAGAACAGATTACCGAGTCACTTCATCTCTTCGGTCGCGTCCTCATGCAGTCGGCTGTGATTCTCTCCCCTCAGTCGTCTATGACCCTGTTGTGGTCCATGCTAGAGAACGGTGGTCTAGTGTCTCCCCTCGCTGAGCACGCTGTCGCCAACCTTGGTCCCATCGGTATCTCCCAGCTCAAGGCTGCCGACCTCACCTTGGCGCTCCAAGTCCAGGCTGGCATGCTGGTCAGCAGTGGTTCCATGCTGTTCGATGTCGCTCATCCCGTCCGCTTTGCCCACATGCTCGATGTCGCTCTGTCTTCTGCCCTCCCTCTCGATCTCTACACCACTGGCCTCGTCGACCAGGCTGTTGGCAAGCTCTTTGTCAGTCGCCCTGATGTCGTCAAGAAGTGGCAAGATTATCTGGAGGCTGGCTCCCAGACCTCCGTTTCACCTTCGCAGATGTTCCTTTCGTCTGATCGTCAAAGCCCCGTCTCCATGGCGGAGACCTCGATCACAACTCCGTCTGCTGCTCCCGAATCGTTTGATCCCTATGCTCACGCGACCGACTTCCGCGGATCCGCCATCATCGCAGAGGAGCTTGAGAAGACTAGCGGGCGCACCGAGACTCACCTCAATGAGGCTCTGACTCGTCTGAACAACATGCGCCGCACTGGTCGTCACCCGCGCTACATCACCTATGCTAAGCTGATTACCGCTGCGGCCAAGGCTGGTCGCATGACCCTGGCTCACGACATTCATAGCATGGCACGGGCTGATGTTCCCCTGGATATGAACTTTAGCGTTGTCAAATACGGATGGGTCTCCATTCTTGATGCCATGGTTGCTGCTTGTCTCACCATTGGCGACCGCCAGCTTGCTGCTCAGTACCACCAGGAGCTTCTCACTCTCGGTTCCGCACCCTCGGCTAACACTTTCGGCTTGTACATCACCACCCTCAAGGAGTCTACCAAGACCTTCGACGAGGCTACTGAGGCCCTCAAGGTCTTCCACCGTGCTGTCGCTGAAGGCGTGGAGCCTACCTCCTTCCTGTACAACGCGCTGATCGGCAAGTTGGGCAAAGCCCGCCGCATTGACGACTGCCTTGCGTACTTTGCCGAGATGCGTGCCAACAACGTGCGCCCGACCAGTGTTACCTACGGAACAATCGTGAATGCCCTCTGCCGTGTGAGTGACGAGCGCTTCGCCGAGGAGATGTTCGAAGAGATGGAGTCCATGCCCAACTACAAGCCGCGTCCCGCACCTTACAACTCCATGATCCAGTACTTCCTCAACACCAAGCGCGACATCAGCAAGGTCCTAGACTACTACGAGCGCATGCAGGCCCGCAACATCCAGCCCACCCTACACACCTACAAGCTTCTCATTGACGCACACGCCTCCCTAGAGCCAGTAAACATGGCTGCCGCCGAAGCCGTGCTGGAATCCATGAAGGCCGCAGGCCACCAGCCGGATGCCGTGCACTACGCCTCGCTAGTGCACGCCAAGGGCTGCGTCCTGCACGATCTCGCCGGCGCGCGCAAAGTCTTCGACGCCGTCGTCTCCGACCGCCGTGTTCGTCTCCAGCCATGCCTCTACCAAGCTCTCTTCGAGTCAATGGTCGCCAACCACCGCGTCACCGACACCGAAGAAGTTGTCCAGAACATGTTCGCACGCAAGGTCGAGATGACCGCCTATATTGCCAACACACTGATCCACGGCTGGGCCGCCGAGGGTAACGTGTCCAAGGCCAAGGCCATCTACGACAGCATCGGCATTCAGAAGCGAGAGCCCAGCACCTACGAAGCGATGACCCGTGCGTTCCTGAGCGCCGAGGATCGCACCAGTGCCGCCACCATCGTCCAGGAGATGATGTCGCGCGGATACCCTTCTGCGGTGGCCGGCAAGATCGTTGATCTCATCGGTGGAGCTTCCGCCTCTCTCTAAATTCTCTTGCCTATATTTGTGACCAGGTGATACCCGTTTAATGATTTGCACCCCTACAATCTCTCTGCTAGGGCTGGATCCCTGTGTTGGGATATTTCCGGTTTGGCGTCTGCAGGGCGGCAGTTGGATATACCTGGTGGGATATCTATTTGTTTTTTGATCTCTGATTTATATATATTGGCATCCAGCGAAGGTTCGGCGTTTATTCTGGTGAGCAAAAAGGGCGTGCATTGAAGCACTGTATACCATTTATGTTTTTTTTTGTTTTTTTGTCCATAGACACATCTCCACTCTCCCACCGCGTCATAGACGCAAATATCAAAATGAAAAAAATTTAATGAGTCAAAATATGTTTTCCTATCTTCTATTCTTCTATATATATATTTAGGTACGTAGTATTTTCCGAAGAAATGGCATGACGTCTCGGAAGGATCCGGTGAGACCAAAACATCCACTTCATAGGATTCCTATTGCGGAACTCACAGCTTCCTAGAACTTAGCTTTACTTCTGCTAATCCCAGGCAATTGAGACATTACATTTATTCTGTTCCCTTGCCATTTTAATGCAGACTCGGTTACCCTTCACTTTCCGTTCAACCGTTGACTCATTCCTCCGCACCGTTCCCGGCCAACCCCGCCAACTTCCATATTCCTCAACCAACCAACTCAGCAATCCTAAACCAGCAATGGATCAAATCGAACACCTGACAGACGCCCATCGGCGCCCGAAGAAGCTAATCTGTAAGTCTGCTCTACATACCAAGCCAATCCCTCCACACACGGATCCCCCCCTCATCCTCCCCCAAACCTCAAACTAACCCTCCAAACCCCAGTCGCACCAGGCGACATTGCACCAACCTCCAATGCGCCAACACCAGAACCACAGCCCCAAGAAATCCCGGCGCCAATCACCGTCCTAGAAGCCCTCCGCACCTCAGCCTCAACCCCAAACTCCACAACGGAAACCGAAGTCCTCTCGCACGCCGCGCGCGCCCACCAATTCGGCACAAACCCACCATTAACAATCTCCCAAATCCATGGCACAAACCCGCTACACCAATTCAACACCTGGTTCCGCGACCCCCGTCTCCCAGCCTCCTCCGCCCCGGAAACATGCACTCTATCAACAGCCTCGCTCCCCTCGGGCCGCGTCAGCGCGCGCGTCGTATACCTAAAAGAACTCGACGAGCGCGGCTGGGTCGTCTACAGTAACTGGGGTAGTCGTGAAGGCAAAGGCAGACAGGTTTTCGGAGGCGAGAGTGGTGACACGCTAGATGCCATGCCGGAACCGGATTCGGAGCAACCTACCATCACGGCAGAGGTTGGGTCTGGGAATAAATGGGGCGCGTTGACGTTTAGCTGGGCGAGTGTTGAGCGGCAGGTGAGGGTTGAGGGGTTGCTCGAGCCGCTTCGGAGAGAGGAGAGTGAGATGTATTGGCGGACGCGTGAGCGGGGGAGTCGCATTGGGGGATGGGCGAGCTGGCAGAGTCGGGTTTTGTGGGCTGCAGAGCCTGTGCAGATGGAGGAGAACCAGAGAAGGAAGAGTGTAGTGAGGTTGCAGGGGGATGGGGATCAGCTTATTCCGTTGGATATTGAGCAGACGGATGTCGAGGATGGACGGGCGTTGTTGGAGGCCAGGGTTGCGGAGATGGAGAAGAGGTTTGCGGGTGTTGAAGATATTCCCTTGCCACCGTTTTGGGGTGGTGTGAGGCTTGTGCCGGAGTCTGTGGAGTTCTGGCAGGGACGTCGGAGTCGGTTGCATGATCGGTTCCGGTATGTGCGTGTTGAGGGGGAAGGGGAGGATGCTAAGTGGCGGGTTCAGAGGTTGTCGCCGTAGAGGTGGGTGTAGATTAGTTGCATTCCTACTGCTATTATACTTGGCCTTTCAATCAAACGAGTGATACTTTGATTAACGATGGATGTCTGATGTCTCGCGTCGATCATCCATATCAGCTTATCGATTATCCTTATCGAGTATCCTTATCGATTATCAGTCTTGGCACGCGAACTCCTTCAACGTCACTCTAAAACATCTAGCCCTTGAATCCTACGCTACTTGGATATAGTCTGAAATCCTATAAAAAACAGTCCGATATACCACCGGATATACAGTTATATCTCCACCGCAGCCATGTCGACCTCAACGCCTCCGTCAATCCCCCAATCCTCCACATCCCCCTGGATCATCCTCGCAGTAACGAGCGGCGCCTTCGCTGCGTTGAACGGTGTTTTCGCGAAATTGTATGTGGGTCATTCACCCTATAGCGCAGTATCGGAGCAATGCCCTATAATTTATAGGCATATAAGCTATACGCTATAAGCTATACGATCCGTGTAACCCCGAAGTTAACCTTGGAACGTTGCACAGAACCACGGACGACCACACAACGGCCTTCGCGCAATCCCTCGCCCACCTCTTCGGTCTAGAGTCATCGCCCGTGATTGAGGTGCTTACTCGAGGTGTATGTTTACACCCTTCTCTTGTATCTGGATTATCCTGGATACATCACATCCATCTACTTACTACATGTGTTATATATAATATGTTTCATTATACTAACCTCTATTCAACAGGCCTGCCTCGGCCTAAACGTTCTCTGCAACATAATAATGTGGGCACTCTTCACACGCGCGCTAACAGCCGGTCCATCGACGGTCAAAGTCTCCATCACGAATACGGCGTCGAATTTCTTGGCGACAGCGGTGTTCGGGATGATTGTTTTTCAGGAGGCTGTTGGGGGGCTTTGGTGGTTGGGGGCTGCGATGATGGGGGCTGGGTGTATTCTGGTTGGGATGCGGGAGGGGGCTTAGATTTTGGATTGCGTTGAGATTTAGGTGTTATATAGGCTTTTTTGGATCTAGTTTTTATAATTTGTCTAGAGATTTTGGATATTTTGATGGGCTTTGGCTTTCTATTCACTACCATAAAGGCTTGTAAGGAGGAAGTGAGGTGAAAGCGTGAGCGAGGTGAGAGTGAAGCAAACCCACTGGGATACATCGGAAAGTCCATGTACGCCGTGGCCAAGGTTCTGTCATAGCTCGTTGTCCCACCCGTTCAAGGCATTGCGGACACCTTATTCTAGCGGTTTTATAGTTTGCACTATATCTCATCCCTCAAGTCGCTTTCCATGGTGTCTACGTACCTTACATGTCATCTAGACCCGGCTCACCGTTCTGATGAATTATTTCTTTTTATTTCTTTTCAATCTTCGACACCCCAGCCTCTCATGCATGCCGTCCATCTATCCAGAGACAGACTGTTTTCTCCGATCCGTCTTCTCGTAGATCTCTTCACTTATACATCTTCACTCTTGCCCTATAGGCTACTAGGTCATTCAGCACTGATATTTGGGCGGAATTGCGGTGTATTCAGTTGAATGATCCCATCTCCCATTTGAATACCAAGATTTCTTCCTCTACCTTCTCCCCAGTAGTAGTCTCATCATGTTCTACTCCCACCTACTGGTGTAACACTTGTTCGATATCCGAAGGGACATCTGACGTGCCGGCAGCGCCGAGCTTCTATTATTGAATCTAATATTCCAGCCTAGACTACTCGGCATATTCATTAGTGTTTAGAATGCCAGCATCCTAAACCGCCTCCAGGTTCAACTTCAGCGAGTCTGCAAGGGAAGTCCAGCCTGGTCTTCCCAAAGCCTGAAGCAAAACCAGACCACGTCCGTTAGATATTTCGGAGATATCCTTCCTGCTAGGATCCGTGAAATCATCTACCCATTGGTGGTTCGGTCGTAGTTCACGAAGATGCTTCAGCACGTCACTGTTTAGGGGTTAACTCTGGTTATGTTGCTGAAAAAGAGACGTCAAACGTACTTCCAAGTGCAATGCTCGGCATATGCGATGATACGCTCATTTTTAACATCGGGATTTGTCAAAGCCGCCACGTGCAGACGTGCGGAATCTTGCACGTCGACAAACCATTCTGTGAATATGGTTAGCAAAGCATACCTCTCATCAAGGGGCGACGTGAGGCTTAAAGCTAAGAACACAGAAGAATCGTCCATGCTGACTCTTCAGCACGGCTATGAAGAAAACTCACGATAGTCGACCGTTTTGGCCAATTCGGTATTTCCATTGAAGATCTGCTTTACAAAGTCTCCGGAACTGGATGGAATAGAAGGATCCAGGACTTTGCCAAAATTGAGGCCCAGGACAATAGAGTTAACGACGAAAGGCGCTTTTTTCTCAGTCGCGTACTTGAAAACAGCTTCCTCGGCCTGTGTTTTGCTCGCCGCATAAACGGACATTGCACGATCCATTGTGTAAGGCGGAGGAGCCCACGCCTTCTCAACTGCCTCCTCATTGTAGGAAGTTGCATCTAGCTTTCGGGCAACATTGAGCACCGCAGGTCCAAGAGCACTTGCTGACCCAGTGTAGACGAAGCTCTGAACTGATGATGATTGCATCGCCGAATCGAGGATGGAATGCACAGAGGAGACAACCTCTGTGATGACAATGTTGGGATCAGGGTTGAAGCTCACATTGCTGGCAACATGAGCTATACCAGAGACGCCTAGAAGTTGACGTCAGCGGGCGCGGTAGGAAGCAGAGTACGGTTTATCTTCAAACAACCTTTGACGGCCTCATCAAAAGCCCCAGGCTCGGAGATGTTTTGGACAACCACCAACTCCACTTGCTCTGTGCCAAAATTGCTCTCCCAATGCTTGAGCAAACCTGCAGCCTTTTCGATATTTCGCACAGTTCCACGAACTTTGAAGCCCGCCTGGAGCAATTGATCAGCAACATGAGAGCCGATGTAGCCGGTAATGCCGGTAACCAGCACGGTCGAGCCCGAGGGTAGAATGGATGCCATTGTGAATATCTCGATCGAATTGTACAACGGTGTTTGCAATGTGTCCAAAGAGAGTTATAGAGATTATACTGAAAAGGAAACGGGAGACTTCGGATTTAATAACTACGAGAAAACGCTTAGACAACCCTTGATAAATTAGGTACGAGCTTGCTGCTTTGCAATATCATTCTTATATCTATATACTTGATTAGAAATACAAGTGGAAATAATTGCCAATGATTGCCAATCTTACCAATGATTAGAGATATTTAGTTCGAACCACTTAAAATAATTGGCTTAGAACTTTATTCTCCGATAAATATATAGTGATAGTGAGGTTAAAATAGAGTCTAATGATATAATTTCCTATTAGCCTATAGCGAAAGGAGCAAGGTACCCGAAAGTGATAATGGAAGGGATTAACCTTGGACTAGGAGTAGCCCCACCGTACTTACCAAGCTCGACACTTCTATTCCTACGCTCTAAATCAGGTCTATATTCGTATCAATGCTATCTTACTTAACCCCCGTAACTATACCGTTCTTTATCACACCTACCCTCTGCTAACGAAAACGAGTTTTGTCCCTTATAGTGATAGCGTAGGTACCGTAATTAGCGTAGGACTAGGCTCCTCCTAGGAAACCCGCTGTGAAGAGGTAGTTATCTTATATCCGAACATATGTTTGCAGGAAGACTTAAGTAATTTTGATATAAAGAGCGTGCTAGGGGGAGGTAATGTATATAGTACTTTGACTAAGTATATCATGCTGCATAATATGCAAATTTAGGAGTCGCTAACAAATTTAACCGTAGAGGAGGCTTCTACGTTACTAACGGCTACCTTAACAGCTTAGAATACGCTTCTCATAGGCCTGTCCGACGTCGACCTAGCATTTTAGTTTTAACATGTTAGATCTTTCGCAATATAGATATAGATAGAACTACCTCTCGCACTTTTGAAACCCCCTATTTCACGTTATAGCCCTATATTATCATAAAGGCTTTCCTTTCCTCTACTAATTGTATGCCGTTTTGAAATAGCTAGCTGCCGCTGTAGGAGCCACTATAATCGCGACATCCTCCTCTAACGAGAAGCTTAAAGTTGCTAAGCAGCTAGGTACCACTTACTTAATAAATTACCGCAAGATACCGAATTGGTCGGAAGATGTCCTTCTTATTACGTAAAGCCGCGGGGTTGATCATATAGTTAATGTCGCTAGCTCAAGCACTATCGAGGAAGCATTGCTCAGCGTGCGGCAAGGTGGGGTTATGTTAGTCCTAGGTATGTTTTCAGAGTCGAAGAAATCAGATCTAGTGCCGATGCTTATAATAGAAGGGAAAACCCGTGAGTAGAGCTAGTGAATAGGCCACTTAGGAACCTAACTTAGCTAACAAATGAACAGTCAGAGGCGTTGTTAGAGTAGGAGAAAGGAGATGCATACACAGCTAGTAAAGTTCATCCAACATCATAATATACATCCTACTATTGCGCATGTGTTTGCATTTGACCAGGCTGTTAATGCGTTCGTATATATGGAAAAGCACAGCGAAGTCGGAAAGATCGTCATTAGAGCCTAGAGACTTATAGCTATTGTCAGGGACCCTGTATACAATTATATAATCGGGATCAAGTAGGCTGGTCTCTTGAGGCATATAGGCAGTTGGGATCAGTGACTCACGATGTACATATGGATCCGAGCTTTTACGCCCTATCTAAAAACTTGGAGCCTCAGCCTAGAAACCTACGTATAAACCTGTCAAGCGTCTTCACCTTACCCTATAATACTTTTGTTATCTCTGCTGGAGCTGTTGGATAATCAGGCCCGAGTCTCCCATCCTAGTGACTCCCTGGTTATACATCAAAAGGTCGTCTCTATGGTTTACTCTGTCTTAACTATAAAACCGAGAAAGGGGAGAAAATACCTAACAAAAAGACATCTAAAATAACATCTAGAAGGACTACCAAAAAGACTACCAAGAAAAGAGATGACAAGAAAGCATAAGCGGCCGACTATTCTTGGGACGAAATAACATGGAAAGGATGCTCTTTCAGGCGTCATCAAAGCGACATTGCATGGCAGCCGAGAACACTGCCGCACTCGCTAACCTAACCGCTCTTCTACTGCGGTCAGCCACCCTTCTGCTTATTGGAGGATGGTTTGCTCGGATGGGCATCGGAATACGCGCGCAAGGCGATCGCCAGCAAAATGCCACCGATATCCTCCATATCACTTCTAGCCATTGTATTCCAAGGTCCGAATTCATGCATTTTGAGAAACGGACGGGGCGATTTCGGGGGGAGTGTATTGTTGAGATATTGAATATAACTTTCGTCATACTCCGCGAAGGTGATGAATATCTGGTGACGGTCCTGTGATATGTGAAGACGACTAAGAATTGTAAGTAACATAGCCAGTAGGGTGATTTTAAGGGGGGGGGGGTTAAGAATAATGGTGACCTTACCGGCCCGGGAGGTTCAAAGCGCCCCTGGGATCAGGATCTGATTTTATCCATGCAACCATCTGTGCAGCCTCTTGCATACGAATGGGATTTTTCTTCTTTTCCCTCAACATTGGCTTCACTTCGATCAATGCTCGTACCCTTTCTGAAGATCCCCCGTCCTCAAGATACCCATCGGTCCGTGCTTCAAATGAGGTATGTTGGAACGCTGCCTTGAACGATTTGCGGTGCAAGGTCCAGTCGCTCGCCTGGAGAAAGTGCATGCTCAGCGCATTTAGGAAGTCCACTAGCGCGGTGTTGACAATCTGCTCATCTTTTGTTTGTGGATACATCAGGTGTGCAATCTCATCAGGCCCTGGAGAATAAAAGGGCGAGTCTCCGGCATCTGGAGTGCCGTCAACTTCTAATAGGTCCGACGGTTTGCCTGTTGACTTTGTTGGAGTTTCGAGTTGTGCTTCCCTCAATTTTTGCTCTAAACTACCCATCTTAGACCGTGTGCGATTCGCAATAGGTGAGAATGCCACGTTCGATTGGAAGATCTCATCCTTGGATTCTGAGGCCTGTGACTGATACCTTTTGGCCAAGGCAAATGTCCCTTCACGAATAGGGCCGCTTGGGAAACTTTGCCGATATTTATCCCAGGATCGGAATGTTTCAAGTAGCTTATCCGCTTCCCGTTTCCACGTCTCCAGGTCGTATTGTGTTAGTCTAAGACGTCGGCCGCTTCCTGAGGTCCAGAGAATCTGGAACAACAAGTATTGCTTCTCGCTGATTGTGGATGCAGAGGTGAGAGTGGCATCATGGATGGTCGAACCGGAGACTTGGTACCGAGCTGTCCAATCATTCCAATTATTTTCGTCCGAAGGGAGATCCGTACTAGGGGAGGTTGTTGTTGCCATAGTAGTGTGCGGAGAAGATATTGTGTACTAAGTAGGAAAACAGATGAAGCACCAGACTCCTAAGGCTACTCTCTTTGCCGAGCGTGCAGTAGATATGCCTAGGTCACCCGGCCCTTATCAGGATGAGGCTCACGATCAAGGGCACACATCGGCCGGAGTATAGCAAGCGCCAATCTCATCCTCATAATTGGTCTACTCGGTGTTGCCGCCGAGTGAAAAAAAAAAAAAAAAGCCTTGGAAGCCATAAGAATTCCTCTTCGCCAATCAACGGATGTGATGAAGGAATAGGACCCGGGCGTGATGAGGTGCATTGTGATTCATCTTACCGGCGAGGCTAGATGTGGCGAGCAATCACAAGGCAGAAATGGTCCGCGTGCCGCTGCAAAATACTAAAATAGTAATATAATGCATCTCTTCGAGTTAGATAATAAGTGGCGGCGGCAAGCTGAGAAGAACAGAGTTGCTCAACGTTGCCAAGCAACTAGTTCTAGTTGACCTTGTTGACACGAGAAATACACCGATTATCCTTACTAAGGAGGTATGCACCTTTAACTAGTTAGTTAACTGTTGGTGAAGTTGTGTAAATAAGACCGACAGACCGTTGATGCCTTATATATCAGGTCTCAAAGCCCGCCCTTGCCGCCTTCGTTCAGACAAGAAAACCACCTCCCCATCTCGTCTTCCATCCAGCTATCAAACTTGCTAATTTTTTACTCGCTCTTGTAATTTTGATGATAATTTCAGCAGGTTGTTATCTTCGTCAATTCTCGTCAAACTCGAGATGGAGGAGGCACTCATACTGAAGCGAGCTACTCGTCGCCACACGTTGGCTAGGATTGAGAACCTAATCAAGCAAACCCCGAGTTACCACGTCGAATCTTCTGACCTGAAGGCGGCTGGTATCCGCCACCTCCCCTTACTCCTTGAAGGGGACCCCCGGCATCATCCATGCTTCTTCAAGCCATACCAAGAAGAACTGCCTCTCCCACCGAAGGAGGAGGAGGACAAGCTGCTGGAATTTGAGCCTGACCCGGATCACATCATGTGGGATACTCGTGATATGCAGCTCTTTCTCACTCGCCAGTTTCATGACTGCTGGGCACATGCATCGAAGAAGTACCCCCATAACCCTCCGCCATCTGGCGCATATCGAGAGTACGTTATCTTTCACAGCTACTTTGTCTTGCCTGCTGACTGTTCACGACAGAATTGGAGATTACAGATTCGGCCAACTGCTGGAGTGTATCAAGTTCAACTGGTATGCCGTGTCAGTAACCGATTATCCAGCAGGGAACCGTCCACACTTCAAGGTCATCCTGGAAAGTGATGTGAACGGGGATGATCGACTGCTTCGCGGAGAAATTATGACTATCACTGATATTATGGCTGCTCGTCTGAGGACCAAGTCGCTGCGCCCGCATATTGTTGCCCCAGTAAGACCTCCCATGGTGGATTCGTGGATTCTAAATGGTCTACTAACCTTCCTCTGGTAGATTCTTGTCCTGTCTCTCATGGGTCCTCGTCATGCCCGTGTACTAGAGGCTGACCTTGATGGAGAGATTCTCAATATACGCGCTTCTAGGTTGTACGATTTCACGCGGAAGAACACTCATGTTGTGCAATTGCTGACGCGGTATTGGATCGGTGACGCGTGCGGCCAGACTGTAATGGAAACCTCCAAAGCTGCTAGTTCGGCGAAGGATTTTGTTTAGACTGGACACTGCAATATTTTCCTGCTTGTTATGAGCAATGCAGCTCTTATGATGTATATGATAATGAAATTGCTATCTCATGGATGAATGTCGTTCCGGAAACGACATCTACAATCTGATGAAGATTGCATATGGGCTTCAAATAAATCTAGTTGTTGGGATCACCTGACCCTGTTTGACAGAACTGGTAGCTACATAGCTTCCTCTTCCTCTTCTTCCTTTCCCCTTAGCAGTTTGCAGTCAGCTTCAATACAGTCATATTGCCTGCTCTCTCTTCTCCTAGTTCCTTATCACTAGTGAATCGGTCTAACGAGCAGTATGCACTGTATTTTGTATTCTAGTAGTCCCAAGGCTCCTATCCCAGTATAGGGATGGTCCTATTCCCGCCACAATTTAATATTTTGTTCGCAGCAATGCGGAGGGATTGCAATCTGCGGCTCCAATTAGTCACGGAAGGCATTGAGTCTCAGCTAACTATATATAGATTGCTTCTGGCCCACTACTGATTCATGCCCAATTGACAGATCATACTACTAGATAGCTGTTTCTAAGAAAGTACCAATCGTGGAGCTTGCATGGTGCACAACTAATCCACGTCTTTGAGAAGTTGGCTAGTGCATGGGATAAAATAGGTTACGAATCTGACCACAACGCTGGATCTCAACATAGCCAACGGAAAAGACGATGTCTTGTACGGGCTTTCTCGGACTACCATCATACCTGATATTCAATCACCATGTCATGTCTGGAAAAATGTAGCCCACCGAGTCCTCTGCGGTTCTGGAAGAACACGCATACACCAAGCTGACAGCCCACCCGCAAATGCAAAATCCGCGGTCTCCCATCTCTCTGTAAGCCTATCCTTCCATTCTTCTATCCAGATAATCTGTTTCTCGCCATCAGAAGAAATCAAGGGTACCATGCCTTTAGGCACGCGTTCAGAAGGCCGAAGAAGCGGGCCGGTATAAAAGAATTTGTGCTCAGGATTGCAGATACCCGGGATTTTGGATAGATCGCCCGACTCACACTGGCGGTAACATCGTCGACAAACTGTCGAGAATGCGCAAGTGCGGCAGAAATACCAGTGTTGCATGGTCCCAATTTCCCGCTTGCAGCCCGAACAGTCGGTGCAGCGGTCGTATACGATGTCAGCATATAAGGCATCGTCTATATCATCATCATCGTCATCATCAGTGTCACCATCCAGACATTGATCTTCGTTATCAGTCAGTTGCACATTTTGGAGTGTTCTGGAGATGTCGAGCTGCACATCATCGCCTGATAATTTGGTAGCACCTGTCCTGTTGCGAGCCACGCTCGTTCGTGGCTCTGTTTCTTGCTTGATCAAGTATAAGGCTGCCCCAAGATCTTCGTCGCTATCTGTAACGGCAAGGAATACCCTGAAAAGTCTCATATAGGCATCTATGTCATTTGAAGGATCATCGTCTGATAGCAACGAGATACACTCTTTGACACACCACCGGAGAGCATCTCTAGCGTTTGAAATATCCCCACGGTCCCGGAGCCAACTTGATAGGACCAGACAGATATCGTCGAGTTCACTGTTTTCGTTCAGAACCAATCGAGGCCGTTCACAGAAAGGGATATCGGCATCGTCCAGGCACAAAGCAACTAGTTTGCTCATTGCCCGCATGCGAGGACCCTTGTCCCAGCTTTCGGAGGAAACCGAGAGAGAGACAACCTCATACCAACCCTGTACCGCTGCATTTCTTTGCCCCTTTTCAAATAAGACCGTCGCGAGAACGTATTTGATTTCCACGGGGTAATCAGATTCAGTATCGACTTTCTTCAGGACTCCGGCGATAACATCAAGATAATTCTGATCGTAGCGGGTAAGGGCATAGTGAATGACCCTATACATCATGAGGGGTCGCACAACGCAGCAGCCGAGGATGAAGCTCTCAAAATTCAGAGACATGCTTCTACTGCCGGCTGTCTTCTCAAAATGAGTGAAAGCAAAGTCAAACACGGACCGCAGACGGTGCGGTTGGTTCAGTTCCAGGAAGATCTTGAAGAAGGGCAAAAATTCATTATCGCGGTTCTCGCTTCGATTTTCCAGGAACAGATTCCAAGCTTCTTCTGTGGTTGCAATTGCATCATCCTTCAAATTGGCATGATGTTTCATTTGCGCTTTGTTTAGCAAGCGATTGATATCATCATCGGCGTCTGGATCCGTATCACCTGCGAAGGTGCTCCACAGGGACTCTGATAACTCAAGATGCTTCAATGCCTCTTCGTGCATCCCGACCTCGGTGCATGCACGAGCCATGTCTCTGTGGATGACGAACAAGGACTGGTCACTAAATGTCGGAGTACTATGGTTTCCGTCGAGCGAAATTTGAAAATGCTCAAGAGCTTGCACGTAGCAGTGTTTCATGAGCGACTGAGCGACCCGCGCATGCCACATAGGTGTCCGTTGAAGATTTTGTGACTGGGCGGGAATCAAGACACTGGAAGGCTCTCTGTGATTCCACATTACGTCTGATACCTTTGATATTAGACCGTCCGTACCAGACTCCTTTATTCCTCCTTTCATCGCATCGTATACTGTCAAAATGGCAGGAGCGATGTCAGGCAATCCATCATTATGCTTGATTTCCTCTGGTTCTAGCCAGAGTCTGCTCCAATGCGTTACCAGGGGTGACAGGAGAACGGTGAAGGGACATGCATCACTTGCCACCGCTGATTCTCGGGCATGATCCACAAAGCTCTGTTTTTGATCTGGAAGAAGCCAATGGAGTACAACCTCAGCCCTCTTATTTGCAGTATCTTGATCTTGAGCATCCAGCCAGTATGAACCGAGCTCTGATGGCTCGCATGTTAGGTAGGGTGAGTATGCGGTAATCCCCCGAACAAATATTTCATCAAGAAACCACTCCTTAGCTTTCTTATTGCTGAACAGGCTCGCAAGCAAGGTGGAAATATCTTCTCGTAGATTTCCCGCCTTTTCGGGATTCGCACGGGTGAGATGTGATGGCAGGAAATTCATAACATATACCCAGAGGGCTCCTATGAATTTTTCGGAACAGGGTGTGTACCAGTCGTTGAGGGCATAGAGGGAAACATATAGGAAGTTCGCTTCCGCTTGGTCGACGTCTACATGGATTAGTCCGGACTCCGCAGATGTCCGGAAAAATTCATAAAAGGAGCTATGCCGAAGTGTTACGACGCCACCGTCTTCGTACGGGTCGTCTTCATCATCGTTGGCTCTGATATAAAACAGCGAGGAGTAAATCGTACGGATATCATCTTGAAGATTCATGAACTCCTCCTTCAGGGTGAGCTCGAGAATAATTTCAAGCTGACGCACGGTCAGTGGCTTTTGAGCCAAAGTGACAAAGGAGAGCAAGATGTTCAACTGCGCAATCTGTGATGCAGGCTCTTCTCGCTCTGATGTCTCATCGTCAGACAATTCTTCCCACTCGGACAGTTCTTTACTCAGACGCTGCAGTTCTTCACTAAGCATCGCACTGATCCCTCGGGGCATTGTTCTGACCACTTTTCGGATCTGCTCTTTAGTTCGACAGCGCAAAACAGATTTGATGACGAGATTGGCCCATTCCCACATACCCTCGGCTTCCTGGCTGATACCGGTGATAGTTTCTTCAAGTAAATCAAGGTGCCCACGAAACAATTTGGTCTTCTGTAGTTTCTGCGAAACGTATTCGTGGAGATCATCCTTATTCTCGTGATTACCGACTTCAATCTCCGGGATCCAGTTCAACGAATGCTCATCGAGCATGGCGCGCACCGAATCTCGACTAAGAAGCACGATTCGTAAAGGGAAGGTTCGGCTGATATTGTCTTCCGCTAAGAAGGGTTTCTCCAGCAGACTGAAAAGGACTTCTTGTTCCTCTGTTTCAACCTCATCAATACCATCAATAACCAAACATGCTGTTGTGGTGGATGGAACGTCGGTAAAGTAGTTTAGGAAGAGTTTCTCCCAAAGAAGGTAGTTATTCCCCGGGTCTTCTTTCATGCAGAATTCCTCGGCATGCACCGCAAAGCTTGATTGTTGCATGGCCAGCTGCCATGCTATGGTTCGCAGGGCTTTGTTGAGGGAACGTAAATCGACATCGTTGTTCTTGCAAAAGAAAGAGGCAACCAGGGGCGGCGGGGTCGTGGATGACTCGTTTGAAAGCTCGGTGATAATTTTTGATGCCAGATGAGATTTGCCTACTCCAGGGCCACCGTGAATCCAGAGGAGCGGATGAGATCCTTGCCACCAGGACCGAAGCCTATCTTCAACCCAGCTGCCAGATCCCGGTATGCGATTCTGGGTGATGGAAGAGAAGACCTGGCCCGATGCAGGAACCGGGCCTAATGCTGCTTTGACCATTTCCAGCCTCTCGCGATCCTTTCTGTCATCGTCTCTATTGAGCAATTCCTGGGTGTTTCTCAGAGCTTGATGGGTGAGATTCAGCCCATGGGCAGAAACCATCATATGCTCCTGGCTTGTCAGCTCCTCTAACTCGCCTAGTAAAGAGCTGATTGACGTATCGTCAACAAATATATTCTTTGCCCACTTTGAAAGTCTCCCCTTGAGCGAACCTTGGCTCAAGAGTTTTTGTGACGCTGCGCAAACTCTCAGGGAATTAACCAACACTTTCACGATGATTGTTTTCATCCCCTCACTGAGGGTGATCCCCTTGTATGAGTCCAGACGTAGAGCGAAGTTGCCCAGCTTATGAAATAAGTCGAGGATGCCGTTGAATGCGTCACTAACTCTGCGTGCCGCCCGGATTAGAAGGAGCATCGCACCCATGATCGATGATGCTGGAGGGAAAGCTGCAGCGACAGCACCAGCGATCAGGTCACCCCAGTTTTCAAAGGGCGCCATGACCATCTGCATTGCATGTAAAAGGGGCCGTTTTTTCATTCGAAAATCTTCGAAGTTGTCCTTTTCGGATTCTAGCTGGCGAGACAGGTCCTCAGGCCCCTGTACTTTGGGGAAACGCTCCTCCGTTAATGAAACTCCG